GGCTACTGATACAAGAGAGAACCAATCAGCCTAACTCAGATTGAGTTAGACCTATCGGACTGCGCCATCTAGAGTTTCATGCCAGAACTTTGTATATAATTGTGAGATATACACTAAGAATTAGATAAAAAGTTGCAACTTTTACTATAAAGAACCTTTTGTGCAATGGAAATGTCCCATTGATGTTATTATAGGTGCTTCTTGGAACCATAGATGCCAATAAAGAAATTTTGTTAGGAACTTCATCTGGTCTCATTCCAACCACATGTAAGCCAACTTCTCTAAACCTTACAGGATGTCTCACAGGACCAGAAGATGTCACGTCCTCTTACTGGGGTCCTAGGAACTGTGGAAAATCACCAGGAGTGCTTCTTACGTCCTCTGCGCATTCCTGCCTTTCTCACAAACACACACACTCACTCACAGACACATACAGTTTGACCACACGCACAAGGGGAGAAGAAAGCTACCTGCCAGCGAAGCCCCTTTATCTTGCACGTGTCTGTTAATGACAAGAAGCTGGCAGATAGGAGAGCTTCACAGGCAGGTTAGCAAGTGACAGGCTCCGAGCACAGCCTTGTATGGAAGTGGCTGAGGGAGAAGAGAACGATAAGCAACAACCCAACTATGCTGTCCATGTTTAGAGGCACTCACTGGGCCCACCAGGCCAGAAACAATGCCTGTTTCTGTTAAATTTAGACAGGTTATCGTCCACCACTCCTTTCCCTAGACAGTCTCTCACAGCACCACAGGGAATACGGAGGGGAGTCCATAGGATTGGCTGCTTCAGGGATCTCTAGGTAGGCAAAGTTCCATTAAAACCATTATTTTATTGCATGAAAAACTTATTGGATGGCTTAATGACTGTTAAGGTGACATAATTTGCATTAATGAATAAGCTTTTCTGTTTTGGCATTAGTTGCAGTGGAATCATGGTTTATTTTGATTGTTGCTGTGTGAAATGTTCTACTGTGTGAAATTATGCTACGTCATTAAAAAACAACAACTGATTTAATAACAAAAAGGTAGGGGATGGGGGGTTTTTTGTATGAAGGAATAATTTGGAAAAAATAAATTATGCCGCATAATTGTTGCTTATTACAGTACTTGGAAACAGTCCAACTTAACACTCGCCAAGCACTAAATGAGAGTAAAAACTGACTTTGGCAAGTTGATAAAATGTTATTCGCAAACTGGCCCATAACTTTATTTGGAACTGAAATATAATGCATGGTTTAAATTGAATTATAAAATGATATCTGATGCTCGCTAATTTTAATCATGTGTTTTTAGTGAGTTTTAGTTCAGTGGAAAATTTACCATCAGAGGTTTATGAGGGATGCCTACAGTGAAGTTTCTTTATTCAGAACTGCATGTAGCAACACTGTCCTCACATTAATCTCCCAAAACAAAGAGGAGGACTGGTAAGAGAAAAACTAAAAGGATGATAATAATTTTAATATATATATGGACACATTTAAACAACTTTTACCAGATTTGATCTTATTGAACCTAAGAAAGCAGTTAAAAGGAAGAAATATTTAATGCAAAACAAATTCATTCATGGCTGATAAATTTTCTCAGTTTACTTGCTACTGGCATCATTTATGGCAAAAAAATAAAAATGAATAAATAAATAAATAAAAAACGGACCCTGCTTGGAAGTAATATTATTATTACAGTGGCAATGTTTTTACAGTGTGATTTGAAATTAATTTCAGCTGACTTTGCTTTAAAGGGCCTGTGAGTTGTATATAACATTATAGGAAACAGAATATGATGGCTATTAATCTGCTTAGCCAAAGCAAACAAAGAGAGTGAGAAAGGGAAAAACAGCATGATGCAGTATCATCCCAGCTGATGCACAGATTCAAAAAATTTCTACCAAAACCTACCCAGATGCAAGTTCTACCAAATCTTTCAACCTAGAAAATTGCTAAAACTCATACATACCGGTTCTGACTTCATGTCAGTGAGGTGAAAGAGTTCGGAACAGTCTAGCTGTTCCATGACATGACTACAGTACATCGACTGACTTCCCATGAGCAAGTGACAACATGCTGTTGCTTATTTATCTATTTGTTTTACGGTGGAGAGATTTTGTTAGCCAGGGCAGGCATGAGAGGCAAGCATGTCTGTGGAACTGCAAGCACAAATAGCCATCTTGAAGAGGGAATAATAAATCGGTGAGCTCACGCCGTCTCAGGGCCTCCCCTCTATGACTCACAGCTGTGGAGCTATGTGAGGCGAAAGCTGCCCACAACAGCAAAAGCCTCAAGACGTAAAGTTCACGGAAAGCTGCATTCGGACATTTTGTGTTTGCTTCTGCATAAGGACACATCTTGAGATTAAGGCTGAATAACAGAGTGAAATGCAGAATAATCATTTTAATTATATCTTAACATGTAATTAATTTTTTCTATTTAGGTAGCTTTAATATAAAATTGATTCATGTGACACATGCATAGTATTGGAGAAGTCCAATTTCCAAGAGTCATTGTGTATTAATCCAACTGAAACATATTCTCTTAGCTTCTCATCTCTTGCATGTGTGCATTCAGCCATTTTTTAATCATAAGTCAAGCCACAAAACCAATTACACACAGATCGTGTGTGAGTATGCAAAACAGTCATACTGTATGCATGCATAAATTTGCATTTCCACTTATTTGAGCCTGCATTGTTTCCGTCTAGCGAGCCATCGGCAAGACACAATAAGAAACATGATTCAAATTAATAGAGGCCCTTCAGGTTATATTGGTCTAACGCAGGGAGACACTTCACGACAGAGATCACGTCACTGGCAAATGTGAACTGGCATGCCATAACAATGACTCAAGATAGGGCACCAAAGTGTCTTTTCTGCAGTTGCAGTTCTATTACACAAACACAGACATATGAGCTGAATGGCACAGCTCTGTAGTGATAAACTTATTTTGAATGTTAACTACAGCATATAAATCCTCTAAATAAATATTACAGCACTGAAAATCCTGCATAATCATGATAAATATGCATCAACCTAACGGTCATAGTATGGCCATTTAATTTGTGCATATAGCTATTGATCAGTTGGAAGAATGACAAAGTATTGTATAACATGTACATGTATGTTTTTATATTTTACATTTTAATTTTGGTTGTATAGTTTTGTTTTTTATTAGTTTTAGTTAGGCTATATTTATTTTGGTACATGAAGTTAAACTATAGGACAATGAGTAATGTTGCCTGAAATAAACAAGTTTGTATATTTGAAATACACTTACACACTGTGTGATGGCCAAACGGCTTTCCAAAAGTGCTGACGTTTTACGTTTGTTGTATCGCGCCATACGTGTTCATGGCGTCAGAGTCAAAGCGGAGTCAACGCGGAGCAAGGAGCGAAATTGCTTCGAGCGAGAAAAGTCGAGGCATCGGCGTTTTCTCTCTTGAACGGAACCAGAGTTGTAAAATTTTCCTTGCAGAGTGAAACGGCTTTTGGAACATTGGCGTGAGGGTTTTCTCTAGCGCATGGAAGTGGAGAACTGTGGTTTTAGGTGACCGTAATTTCACCAAGTACAACATGTTCCTGGATCAACATCCTTGTTGATCCTGGAACAACATTCCAATGAACTAATCAGAATTGAGGGATAACTTTTCAGGAAATATCTGTTTTAGGCTTACGATCAGGATTAGGTGTCTGTCTTACTTGGCAAAATCATGGTGACCGTGGTTTTATCCGAAAGTGAAACGTATGCTGCGTTCAAGTCCTCCTGGGACGTTCATAATTACTTACGAGTTGACAAGTTGTAATTACGATGTCAGGTGCGTTCAAGTCAGTTTAGTTGGCACAAGATGGCGGTGTACCTTCTTTTAATAAATTACAAGAAAATACAACAGGGTCTGTTAACTCTGCTTATAGAAAATGAAGAGCAAAGAATTTGCATCAGGTGTGTTTTGCGTTTTTAATTTTTTTTTTTAGACCAGGATCCCAGTATAACTGATTTTCAGCATCAACAAATGCTAAAATACAGAGATTTAAAAAAGCTGTAAGATAAATGCAACATGCAACATGGCAAATCAAAAGATTTTTCACCTATAGGTGCAAAAATTATATCATTTTTTTTTTACTTGGATTTCATTAACTAGCTGTGTAACAAGAACATGACCAATTTAAGTTTATAGGACAACTAAACTATCAATTTAAACAAAAATTTACCGTCAACTACAGACGTTGCATCCATCGATTCCGCCATGTTTCTCATTGACACGCCACCAACTCGGAAACTCGGGGCTTAAAGAAAATTTCGAGTCTCCCACTTGTAATAACGACTTTGTGGTGGCGTTCATGTGCGTTCAACTCGTAAGTACGATCTGTCCGACATGACTTGAACGCACCAGTAGCCTACTCCATTGGAGGCGGTGCTCGGGAAATGGAAAACCTTATGGGGTTGATTACAGAAGGCCACTTTTTGTGGGCATAATCGCCAAAACTGCAACAATCCCTTAGCAGCTACCCAGAACGCCTTAGCAACCTCCTAACAACCACCCAGAACACATTAGCAAGGCCTTAGTGACCACCCACAAGACCTGCATTGCGACAATCACCCAGAACATTTTCACAGATCTTGAGGAAATGTGAAACTAGCCTATTATATCAAATATATATACAGTTTTTATTTAACTTTTTTTCTTTCGTTATTTTTAATGTTTTTCTGAGTTAATTCTCAGTCTAATTATTCAGGATTAATGTTAATCAGTTAAGAATTTTGCCTTAAACATGCCTCTGAAAATCCCCACATATCAAGGGGGACAAATGTTGCTTTTTAATGGACAATGTAATTTCTGGCACTTATCTTGTATAGCTAGAGTATTGAGTTGTGTGTGCTCTCAGTGAGGGTCTGGCACGAAGCCACCGCACTGTCCGAGCACAGCCTCTCCTCCTCCGGTCAGACATGCGAATCCGTACGGAAAGCGGAAAATATGCTTGCAGCACTTAGGAAAAGTAGCCTACAACTCTCCGCCGCTCTGAATGAATCGCGTGTCTCACGCACAGCTCTAGTTATTGGAATGGTTCAGCTCCTGGAGGATGAGAGTGAACGGTCGCGGTAGGCTACTTTGCAAACGAGCGCTGCCGGTAAACGGTCCGCTTGACTGAGGTAGTTTTTACCGGAATCTCAGAGCGTCAGTACCACAGCTTTATCTAGCCTACATGTGGCGGCTTTCACATCAACACAGCATTTCTCTTTAAAAGGTAAATTTATGTACTTGGGCTTTACTATGTTTCATGCTGTCTGCAGTTAAATGTAAATAGTGGCCGTGTTTATGTGCTATATTATAGTATTATGGGTCAAAAGGGAGAGTTTAAATTCATAGTTATGCGTTTTCTTTTTCATTTAATCTAGCACACAGATTAATCATTTTTGAGAGGCAAATGTCTAAGTTCAAAAGCAGTTCAGCAAATATTTTGCTCGTTTCTATTCAGAAACACTTCTCTGCCTGCACAAATCTATTGTTCATTTATGTAATCATTTTTGTTATTTACGAAATAAATGTAAATATAGCAAAATGCTGTGTTGGTTTAAGATGGTCACACATCCTGGCAAAACTGGTGTTCAGCTGGTTTAGCTGGTCAGCAAGCTGGTCTCCCAGTCTGACCAACTGAAAAGAGCACAGATCAAGCCAACACACCATCCTGACCTACTAAAACCAACACACCATCTTAGGCTGGATTTTTCTCCCCAGTAGGATGATTATGAGATATAGTTTAATTTGCATATGATAAAAAAAATGCTTTTAATTTTTAAATGTATTTATTCATTACATTTCTGTTTGATGCGAAACAGATGTTGAGTAAGTGAATGTGTGTCTTGCTAATGCTGGTGTACTGTTACATCACATCTGCTTGCCTAAAAAAGCATCGGTCACTCATCCAAGTATCTTAACCAGCTTATCAACTTTAAAATAAATTAATGCATAAACAGACACTCCTCTACCTCTTATATTTTAATTAAACAATTAAACACAAGCAAGAGTACTCAATACTGCAGGTAATCACAGCTGCGTTGATATTTAGTACTACAGCACGACTGTAAATGCGTTATTGTCTTTATAAGACAGTTTTATATAGTATGTATACTGAGTACTATTTTTCTGGCAAAATTGACCAATTGGCTTGTATGTTTCTTCTCCACCAAAGAAAATAGTTAGATCAAGCTTTGGCATCACCAAGCAGCTCATAGTCTAAAAAAAAAGGGACTGGAAAAGTGTATATGAGTGGACCTCCCCCACTCAACACTTTCTGCAGTCACTCTTGGCTAACTCCACTCCAGGTTTTCCATTTCCTCACTGTGTTTTCCCCATTATGAGCGACTGTGGAGTGAGGTAAAACACTGATGCTCTGACTTTCAAAAAAACAATCCTCGCTCCAGGCAATCTCTGTTTACACTCAGCACCGTTCACATACTCAGGTCCAGAATGCCTTGAACACCGACGAGCTTGTATACAAATGGTACAACTTCCCAGTGCTGTCACTGCAAACTGTAGGCTAAAAATTAGCTCTTTCAGAAAATTCATTGACCAATCAAATTTAAGCAACTGTTGCATAATTTCTGATCAACCGTCTTAGTGTTGTATCATTCATAAAAATTAACCTCACTTTTTCTTTCCTCACAGGGTACGGGAGATCAGGAACAAAATACCTCATTGGGAACATGGGCCAATCTGGGACTTCATCCTATTTTTCTCTCGCTCTAATCAGCATCTTCCTCTTAGTTTTCTTCTATGAGCTCATGCCGGCCTCTGCAGGCAGCTCCAAATCAAGCTTAGATGTAGATACTTCTCCTAACGAAAACTCTTCACACGAGACATGTGGTGGTAGTTTTGAGTGCAAAGAGGGTGTGATCTTGCCAATGTGGACGCCGGTGAACCCCTCCTTTGGGGATAAGCTGGCCAGAGCCACTGTGTACTTTGTCGGTATGGTCTACATGTTCCTAGGGGTATCCATCATTGCAGACCGCTTTATGGCTTCCATTGAGGTCATCACATCCCAGGAGAAAGAGATCACCATCAAGAAGCCTAACGGGGAAACCACAACCACTACTGTTCGTATTTGGAACGAAACTGTCTCGAATCTTACTCTCATGGCTCTGGGTTCCTCAGCCCCAGAGATTATGCTCTCCGTGGTTGAAGTGTGTGGGCACAACTTTGACGCAGGCGAGCTGGGCCCAAACACCATTGTTGGAAGTGCAGCTTTTAATATGTTTGTCATCATCGGTCTCTGTGTCTCTGTGATACCAGAAGGAGAGCATCGGAAGGTCAAGCACCTGCGGGTGTTCTTTGTCACCGCCACTTGGAGTATATTTGCATATACGTGGCTTTATCTGATCTTGGCAGTGATTTCCCCAGGTATCGTGGAAGTCTGGGAGGGACTCCTTACTCTCTTCTTCTTTCCGATTTGTGTCGTATTTGCTTGGGTTGCAGACCGCAGACTTTTAATCTACAAGTATGTGTACAAACGTTACAGAGTTGGAAAACAAAGGGGAATGATCATTGAGACTGAAGGTGAGCCAGAGCACCAGTCAAAGGTAGATATTGAAATGGACGGTGGGATGCTTAACTCTCACGGCGAGGAATTTGTAGATGGCACGGTGGATACTGAAGATAAAGACATGGATGAGGATGTGGCCAGAAGAGAAATGGTCAGGATTTTGAAGGAACTGAAACAGAAACATCCAGAGAAAGAGATGGAGCAGCTGGTAGAGCTCGCCAACTACCATGTCCTCAGCCAGCAACAGAAGAGTCGTGCGTTCTATCGCTGCCAGGCCACTAGACTTATGACTGGTGCGGGTAACATACTAAAAAAGCATGCTGCAGACCAAGCCAGAAAAGCACTAGGCAACCATGAACTTCGATCAGAAGTCTCTGTTAATGATATTTCCTCCAAGATCTTCTTTGACCCCGGAACATATCAGTGTCTTGAGAACTGCGGGACTATGGCTTTGAATGTGGTACGACGCGGCGGTGACTTAACTAGCACTGTGTCGGTGGAGTACCGCACTGAGGACGGAACTGCCAACGCAGGCTCTGATTACCAGTTCACCGAGGGTGTTATAGTCTTCAAACCAGGTGAGACCGAAAAGGAGATAAGAGTGGACATCATCGACGATGACATTTTTGAAGAAGACGAGCACTTCCTGGTTCATCTTAGCAACGTCAAGGTCATTTCTGAAGGAACTGACAATGGGAACCCAGGGGCCAATCATGTGGACACATTAGCTAGTCTTGGCCTTCCTTCAACAGCTATTGTGACTATCTTTGACGATGACCATGCTGGCATCTTCACATTTGAGGAACCAGTGGTTCATGTCAGTGAAAGCATTGGCATGATGGAGGTGAAGGTGGCACGTACCTCTGGAGCCCGTGGAGTAGTGGTAATCCCTTATAAAACCATTGAAGGCACAGCAAAAGGTGGAGGAGAGGACTTTGAAGACACCCATGGAGTCTTGGAGTTCCAGAATGATGAGATTTCGTAAGTGTATTTTTTTTTCTTTGAACTATTCAGTCAGAATCGGTTGCATTGTGGTGCAAAAGGAGAAACTGTACAAGCAATGGCATTCTTAATTCACAATTCAAAGGGGAATCAGCATTATCTTGTATAGTAGAAAACCCTGATTCAGCAATAAGGATGGCCGGCTTGCCCGTTGCCGATGTGAGAGTTTTGGGCTGGTTACTTGTCATATTAGAGCAGTGTTATATCTTTAATATATATATCTTTTAATGGTGTAATTGCCTTTTATTGCATGTGAGCTTAAACAGGTTGTTTTCTGTGACGTATGGTTGTAAATTCTGCTTGTCAAATTTTTAAACCTCACCTATGCTGATGATAATTTTTTGCTGCCTTGGAATTTTCTGTATATTTATAACTCTAGAATTTACAGATGATATTACAAATTTCCTTTGTAAATAAAACTTAACATTTGATTGAAAAATTTTAAAATATAAATAATGATATATTCTTAATAATTTTAAATAAATCTTAAAGAATTTGAAAAGAATAGATTACATTTATAATGTAATTCTAATGTAAATATTAAATTTAAATGTATACAAATACATTATATATACGTACATATAATGTGATATATAATGTCAAAATGTGTAAAAAAAAAAACCTTACTGTTGAGCTCTACTAACTGTGTAATCAAAAATGATACATTCATCAAAGTCTTCAAGTCAGCCAATTGATTTTATCTCTTAAATATTTGTCTTTATTTCCCATACAACGTGTTAAACCCATTGATGTGTCTGTTTGCTGTAAGTTTTTTTCTGACTCGTTTTACTTTGCAGCTCTCCTGTTGCTTTCTTTTCACTCTTTCATTTCCCCACTAGCTTTGCTCACTCTAATGTTTCCATTCTGCGCAGTTTATTTCAGAATCTGGTCCTCCTAGATTTCCCATTACTCCTTAAATCATGGCTTTTACCAGACATTTTTGTACCCATGTGAAAAATTGTGAAACAAGGAAGTGAAGTGATATGGTCACATTTACTTTATATCATTGTATCATCAATACGTCATTGCAGTAGCATGCATTTTCACCTCAGATTTAAAGTGGCATGCAAAACTACTTAGCTGTATCAAAAGAGTGTAAGAGATACCTTTATTGCTTGAGGTGATTAAGTTCCTCAAATAACAGACCGTTGCTACACAATAAAGGCTTTGATAAGTGTAGTGCTTGAATCTGAACTGAATGAAAAAGCATCTGGTTTGGAGTGAATGAGCTAAGTAGAAGCTTTCCACAAGTCAGATCTGCTTAATCTGTGTAAAGACATGTCTCGGACTTCCAGAACTGCTCATTTGGATGACTAATTACATTTCCATAACTGTTGCAATGCTCGGCTTGAGCTTGAGCTCCAGCTCTAGGACTTCTGGCAGGGAACAGGTTCTCCTCACCCATCTCCTCTTCTGGCACTCCGCCTCAGATCATTTATTGGTATGATCACATACTTGACAAGGTGGTCTGAACCCCAGATATTTTCCATGGGTCCCTCCTATATTACTATTGTCTAAATGTGTCAGCTTCTATTTGAGCTCTGAATTTGCTCCAATATCTTGAAATGGAAAAGCTCCCTTGCTTGTGCTTATTTTAAGCTGATTAATGGGAAGACATGCATAAATGTAAACAGAGGTAAACGCATTGCTTTGAAGTATGCAACCTACACCATGCTGATCTGGCTATGCCTACGGATGAAGCTCCATATATGGACAGGTCTCGACTCTGGACCCTGGATCCTATTTGGAGACAACTGTTGGTGGTAGATGTTTTTATATGGTGCTACTTCAAACCAGTGTCCTTTACTCATTATTTATATTGAATCAACCGTTTGGATTCCTTGGCAAAAGGAAGGTCTGGTAAGAAAACAGGAGTGGTTTTGGTGGTTCAGATAAGCTAAATGAAAAATGGCATTCCATATTGAAAACATAGAGATCGTATTTTAGATTAGATACTAAGGATATCGATAAAAAAGCTAGATGTATCTTGTGAGGACACTTAGATATCACAGAGGTGGTGGTTAATTTAAAACCGTTCAATTTCTTTTTCTGTCTCTTGTCAATTTGTATGTTCACACCAAAGTAGCCCTATCTTCACTCACTTTCTTTTTGATTAATATATGAGTAAATCTACAACTGGACTGATCAAATGGGCAAAAACTGGTCCTAAAATACTCAATTTATACACTATAAGTTGTAAACACTAGTTTGAACTTGGATTCCTGTTATTGAGGTATTACCATTGAGTGTTTCATCCTTATGGGGGACTGTCAAAGACACGAGCAAACCGCCTGTGCCCTCTCAGGGTTTTGTCATGCTGAGTAATGAATATAATGTTTTTATTGAGCAAGTTTTAAATCTCAATCTTGCTACAGTCCTCATTTCTTTGCACAGTGAGGATTCTTGGACATTTTCCTCAATACACAGAATAACAAGAATGAGTGTGTTGTCTATGATCCTAAAGAGAAAGAATTACATTTAGGCATGGGGGAAAAAGAGGGGGGAAACAGACAAAGAACACAGAAATAGTATGTTAGGCATGTTTATATTGGCTTGAGTAAGACCTCGCATAAACATTGTACATGGAGGGGACAAAGTCTCTAGAGGGGTGGGAATTTCCATCAATAGTAGCTGGAAAATTCCATATAGTAGGGACTACACGATTAATTTGGCAACCCCAAATAATATTTTGTTTTATTCACAGGCAAAGCCTATTTTAATTTCTAGTTTTCTGATTGGTTAAAAAAAGTCTTTAATTTGTAAATTTTTTCCTTTCATGTCTTGAGTTGGTTTACAGGGCTCAGGGCTTTCACAAAGATGGTTATGATATCTCAGGACTATTTCTGTGATATATGTCAGGTAGTAGGAATGTTTTAAGTGTGGCCTTTCATAAAAATGCTTACAGCACCTTTAGTCTAATTAATCTAACAGTCAAAAGCTTAGATAGGGTCTTCAGTAAGATACTTCTTGCCTCTGCCCATGGCTGATTAG